AGTATCAATGGGAGCCACATTAACTCTGTACATAACCAAATTACACTTGGAAGTTTCATTTGAAACTCCACCTGCATTTGCTGTGTGCATCTCCGATAATTTCTAAGCATAAATGACACTACTTAAACACGAGGACAAACAGTGCAAGAAACGGGCAGTCTTGTGGGTAAAACCTGGGACAGCCACCAGGCTCAGCCCTTGTTCCATCACCAACAATTCAAATTACCACCCCAGCAGGGATGCAAGGAGAGGAAGGGAGACAAGACATTGATTGCCCTGAGATGTTACTGAGATACTACAACTCTGCACTGACAGGAGCTGCGGTGCTCTAATAGAGACATTTTAAAATCAATGCCTTGCTTTCAACTTCTAAAAGTAATTTCTATTAACTTGGTTTTTTTTAACTAGTTACCTGCAGTGCTGAAAAGATTTCCTTTCCTAAGCAAAAAGAATGTAACTAATGGTACAGCATCAGCAGCACTTTTATCATCTGGAAGAAGAGCAGGTTTCCAGCACCACCCACAAACCAATCCAGCCTCTGACTTGCTGTCTGATGCCCAAATACAAAATCATTGCAGCAGTGCAGGGAAAAAACACAGCCAAAGAAGGTAACTATTTTCCAAGGTCTGGAACAAAGCATCAAAAGGCAGGAACCCATAGGCAGTCAGAAGCAATGGCAGTGTTCTCTGACTTGGGGTGTATGGTGTTGGAACAAGGCTATGACATCTAGGTTAAGACATAACTTGGAAATGCTGGATTACTTCAGACTCCCAGACTATTTAGCTATGCTTTCTGTCCCAAGATGCAAAGAAAACAGACTGCATTATTTCAGTGAAAAAATGCTGAGCTAAGAATTGGCTATTTTTCTCAAGCATAGGCAAAAAGATATAGCTTAATGACATAAAAAGCCTACAAATGAAAACTTGTTCTTTCTCAGAAAAAAAAAATGCACTGACTGTCCTTACTAGGCAAATACATTTGGAAAGCATTCTCTGCTTTGGACTTGGAATGTGCTACCTCCAATGTCTTCCTCGATCGAAGAAGGCACAAATGCTGCCTCCTTGGCGATGGGCCTATACAGAAAGCAAACAAGAGCTGTGCCCTGTGACACTCACTGGCGTAGCTGCCTCAGCCAAGCGACTCCCGAGTCACTGGCAAAGCCAGACCTGCAGTAAAGGAGGATCACGGGCTCATCAAAGGTGTAACCCACAGAGGAACGATAGGTATGCACATCTTTATTCACAAAATGAGAAGGAAGCTAGGTTTGCTTATTAAGGACTGTCTGACCCTTCTGTCCACTGATCTGTCTCATGTGAACAGAGTCCAACAGGGACAGCAAAAAGCAGCCCTTGCTCCTCGCACATGCTCACTCACTGCCTTCAGCAGTCAGCAAGGACACACAGCCACAGCTTGCTATCCAAGACAATACCTCAAGAGCCGGGGGCATGCAAGAGGGCTCTGTCAAGTGGGACATACTGTTAGTGCATCAAGACACCCCCTCCAAAGCCAGCCAAGCATCTGCCTCAGTTCACAGCCTTACTTTCGGGCGTGCCTACTCAAGGAGTTTACTGAAGTGTCAGTAGAGCTAGGCAAGTATATTGCTATAAAAAACACCCAACATCTTGTAAGGACTCAAACCTTTACATCAGCTATTGGAAATGGCATCAAACGACTCAAATGGGGGTGAAGCAAACCACCGCACAGCTGTCTGCGATCACTGACAGTACAAACACCTTTAGAGATGTCCATGCGCATCTGGATTTACCCAGGAAAACTTCTTACATTCAGAGTCACAGCTGCTGCTGCTCTGAGGGAAAAGCGGCACACTGGGAGGTGGGCAGGAGGAGGGAAGCAGAGCCCAGAAGCAGACAGGAAGCTCCCTGGTCACGGACAACTGCAAACCTCAAAAGCTCCATTAAGTGCCCAATGGATAACACTGTCATGAGCTATCGTCCTTTCCACAATAGTCACAGAGAACAAAACGTTCAGGAAAGACAAAAGAATCGTGCAACAAGGCATGATCATCATATTAACCCCGGATACTGACCTGGATATCAAAAATACCTTGCCATATCAGCCCTGTGTGCAGCAAATTGTGCAAGCACATGAGGCTCCTCCCTCAGGTCTTAGCTGAAGCAGCTGCAAGTGAGAAGGGCACAGATGCTCTCCGCTGGAAGCAGCGTTGTCAATGGAAGCTCAAGAAAAATCTGGAGGCCTTAACTTATTAATAAGATGTGCAACCAGAAATCCAGGCATGCTCAGTGAGACCAAGGTAACACCCTGCTGAGGGGAGAAAGTCAAAAGCCAGATGATGAACATCCTGAAGAGCAGACCTGGCTGTGCAGGATCAACAATAAAAATTATCTTGGCCCTTGCCTTGCAGCAAATCAGATTTTCTTGTCACACCAGCACATCATCCTTGGACAGCAAGAGACTTCCAGACCCATCCATTGTGGGTTCTTTTAAGCAACCAACCCACTGGACACTGTAGGCCTAGATGGTGTTTGTGCATCACACTTCTGTTCAGAAGCTTGGAGAACGCTGCTATTAGCCAGGGCCATAGTAGAAAAAACACATTACTGCTTGCTAGAATTTGTAATTGAGTCAAGCATCATGAAGGAAATTTTTACTTTCTTATTTATAAATCAGTTCTGGATTTATGATTACCTATGCCATTCATGGACAGGGAGATTTGCCCTCAGTTCCCTGCACTCAAATTCCCAAACACAGCAAACAGTTCCAAGTGCTCAACAAGCCACCACAGGGAACACTGGAGCATCACCTCTCAGGCACAGCAAAGCTCTGCTAGCAAGAGCTACAGCAGTGCTGGATGTGACTGCCCAAGAGCAAAGCACAAAGAAGAGCTCTGCAGCAGAGTGGCCGCACCACCTCTCAGAAAACCTGGCTCTAACCTAAATCCCTAGAGAGGAGCAAGTCTTCTATGAAGTTCGCCCTCCGCTGTTGCCTCTCCAGTTCCTAAGTCCTTATTTTTGGAAAATACTTCCCAGCCCGCTTAGTTATCAGGATATTGAAAGTACACAACAGATGCAATCTACAGCTTACACTGTTAGCTTCACTGCAGTCAGGATTAGAAGCTGGGGAAGGAAGACAGAGAACAGCTGTTTACCACGCTAGTGTTGGTTTAGCCTAACAAGTAAAAAACTTGTTACTTCCCCCAAAATGCAGACTAGAGAGAGAAAAGTTTCTGGAAAAGAGTCTAATGGCTTTTAAAAGGGAGTTACAATCCAGCCCTAGTCTCACTAGGCCATGGCCTGGTTACCACTGAGATTAAGCTTGTTTACTCCAAAGAAAAAAAAAAAAAACTTGGCAGGACTGACAGAAACAGCTTTTCTTGCCAGAGCTCTAATAGCAAATGTCTGTGGAAAAGCCACTTGGAGAAATACTGTTTACTCTGGTAATGAAGCAAGTTCCCTGGAATGAAGTCTTGCAATCTTCCCAAGAGATGTTGCAATACCCTACCTGTACCTCAGCTACATACCATACAGGCTGCTCTCAGAGCCTGGGAACTCCCTGGCCCACTCAGGAGGCCAAGGCATCTCAGCAACTCCAGGCAGCACTAAGCTCAAATCCTACACTGGATACACAACCTGCATCCTAATTAAACCTGATAGCCGAGGTGTTTTCTCAGCTCTGCTTCAAGCTAAGCCCCAGCCATCAACATCTCTTGGAGATGCTGATGAAAAAAGGGCCTCAAAGCCTTCTTCTCCATGCCCTTCTTTTTAACCGTATAAAGCCAAACCCTCCTCCTTGAAACTTTCTCTTTTTCAGGTAACTCTGAACTTAGAGCCCAGCTCACTGCTCGAAGGATTTGGAGGGAACATTAGTACATAGCTGGACTAATAAATATCAAGGAAGAAAAGAAATTCCAAGCAGACAGTGGAGGCCAAGGCTCCCTTTCTGCATAGGGAGTAACTGGCCTGAGGCTACGCTGCTTTTCCTCATTTAAGACCAGGTTTCAAGCTGCTGTCCAAATTCTCTGACTACACAGAGATGAAAGGCTCTTGCTGTTCAATATTCCAACTCCTGACTCAAGTGCAAAGGGCTACAACATCTGCTCGAACCTCCGTCTGCCAATGAGATGGCTGACTTAGCCTCTCCCTAATTCAGGAACCAGAAGATCCCTTGTAGCTGAATGAAATGGATTTCTTACCCAAACAGGTACTTGCATTTGTACATTTTGTTTACAAACAGCTCACACTCTTCTAAGAGCACCAACCCCATGCCTGACACACGGCTGCAGTTCTTCACAGCAGTACTTTGTGCTCCCAAGTGTTGAAATTCTTGCTTTGAGGAGAAACCAAGCTCTAATTTCAAGTGTTTACATGTACTCCTGAGAGCAAGAAAAAAAATCTTACCATGATTAGGTTATGTAAAAAGTTTAATTACAAAATAAATAAGTTCGTTGTGGAAACGTTAAATATTAAAGACATCAATATTTACACATTTACAGATACAACTTGACAACTAATGGTGTTTCTCTGCTACCAGAAGAATTCTGCTCTGTTTATACAGAACACAATCACTCTTCCAAGAAGAAACTGAACTCAAGTAATCCTCTGTGCACGGAGGACTGCACGGACAGTTAAGAAACCAAGGACACCTGGGTCAGAACAGATTGAGGTAAGATGAGTTCTTCACACCCGAAGGTAGAGCAGAGAGACCACTGCTTGCAAAAGCATCAGGGCCTGAATTAAATTCTTCAAAGGAACAGGTTCTTAGTCAAGTTAAACTGATGGGATCTGATGTGAAGCATTTTATATTTAAGCACTGCTTAAAGCAGCAACAAGTACCTGTTTAACAGAAGTAGCTTTGTGTTTAGAAGAGATAGGTCCAGCCTTATCAGTTGGTTTGAGAATGGATCTTTTTCTTTAGATGCAAAGGCCTTGCATCTACTGTCTCAGCATCCTGAGGAGACTTCATTTTAACTCGGGCTAGCACACACACAGATGAACAGCTCCATTCACACCATGAGTCCTACAGAACAGGGATCACTTCCACACACACAGTAACAGAACCCACGTGTGGCTGTCAAACATCTGTCACCAACGCCCTGCGAGTCACAACTACAGATGAAGGTCTTGGAAGCCAATACTGGACAGGGAGCACAGTGACAACACAATTAGGTTTTTCATCCACTGAGGTCTAGGGAGAGGAGCCATCCCAACCTCTTCCCTTTTTCACTTTGGTAGAGGGAAGGAAGGGAATTTTCTCCCTTCCATCCATTCCGGAAAGCAGCAACAGGCTCTCCCCCTTAGAGTTAGAGCTGCCAAAGGAGACCTACTAAGAGAACAAAGTCCATCCACACAACAGCCGAGACTGGAGCTCTAGCACAGAGAGAGAAGGCTCAGTAGCAGTAGTCTCTAGCAGGTCTTGACAACAGGTCCTGTCCCCCTACGAGCCAGCTCCTTCCCCATGGTTGGGCCAAGATGCAGTGATAACTGGTCTCCTTCGTAAGTGATTCAGCAGCAAGTGGCCTGTTGACATCTCCTTGCAGCAGCCTCTCTCGATGAATCAGGGCTTAGTGGCAACAGCTCCAGCCCACAGTGTCCAGGTGGATGTGTCAGGTAGCCAGAGGTACCCTGCAGCTTGGCATTGGCCACTTGAGAATTGTTCTGTAACGGGCAGACCAGGCACATTAATCACCACGGGAGACACAAGCACCCTGTGCTAGCACCGAGGCAAAGCGACAAGCAAGGCAGGCAGATAAAGGATGTGCACACGCCTGAGGACACTCTGACAGATACTCTTCAGCTTCAAGTAAACTTGGAGCAAAACCCTCCAATTGTCACTGGACAAAGCTAGAAAATACCTACAGCTGACATGTAGCAAAGCAAAACTTAACAGTTTTGCCAGAATTTGTCAGGACTAACTTTTATGGCTTCCTCCTCAGCTTGTAGTTTAACTCCTTTTCAGTAATGGTCCTTGAGTCTGCTGTTACATACAACTGGCCTCAGCAGAGACCAGCTAGCCTGCTCAGTAAAATCCACTAGGCCACTCCCAGAAGCAGTCCACATATGCCAGGGAGCTTCGGACCTCAGTTGCTGTGACAGTATCAAACTCGACTGAGAGGCTATCTGTGGTGCTCACAGAATTCACAGCTTTATTTTGATCCACAGCTTCTGAGCACCAGAAACTTGCACATACTCTCCTTGCAGCAAAGATATGGAAATGCTCAGTTACTTTTCTTCTAAGAGGTGATGATGCTGTGGCACCATATTCCATGACTGAAGCCTACCACTGTTTCCTGCACTACATCTGCTTCTGTCCAGATATTCAGGACTTTTCTTCATAGCTACACTTACCTCAGTACAGCTTCCCTTCCTCATTTGGCCTTTAACACAGACAGAAATTTAACAGAGCTGTTGAACAACTTGTACACTCAAGAAAGTTTGAGAAACCAGAAAACCAAGCTAGCTGCTCACATGTGACCTATGTGTTTCAAGACACTCAGAGCATTAAAAGCAAACACCAGCTCTGCAAAAGAAGCACGCAAGTCCCATACAGCCTGGAAGGACTGGAAGGTGTTTGAAGTCAGCATTCATACCTGCTTTCTCCCCATTTACACACCAACATGGCCATTTCTGTTTTCTTGTCGGAGTTTTTTCCTTTCTTCTTTCTCTTCATACTGAGGACACTTTTTCCTGACCCTGTGGAATTATGGCACGTTAGAGATAATTCTGAACCCTGATGCACATCCTGTTCTCACCAGCCGTCCCCATCCTCTGCAGCAGTTAGATTTATGTTCTTTTAATTAAGCAACTCCTTGGCACCAGGGAGTTTAAAGCAAGACAGTTTTTAAGCATTCAGCATCAAGCAGTATCTTCTAATAAATTTGAGGAACCCCTGTACTAGACGTCAACACTTCTGTCTCACAGAGAGAGAGCGCTTCTTGACTTAAACCAGATTAGGGAGCAAGATGAAGAGAGGTTATTGCTGGGACTGAGCAAAGCACCAGGTGATTTTCTGGGTGACAGATCTCCTAGCGGCTTTAGCTCATAGCTGCAGAGACCACACTGTCTTCCTCCTCCCCACAGCAGAGCCCTGCAGGCTTCAAATCTAGTCCCTGTCCCTTGAATACATAAGGAAGCCCCTTACTGATTTTCCCTTAATTTCTCTAGTGTTTTCCAGTCACTACTCCAAGCAGCTTCTCTGGATGAGGGTACAGATGAGCACGCTCCCACCTCGTGAGAGTTCAGAACATGAAGCAAATGCACTTCAGAAACTACCAATCATAATTTGCTCTTAGAGCACTGCAGAACTGATTATCTCTCCTAGCAGCAAGGAATGAGGCAGTGTTCAGAGAACAAGTGTTCATCCCAGCATTCTTCAAGTTCAGAGTTAAATATGAAGCAACACTGACATGACAAAAGCATACCTTGTTTCCTGAATTGCAGGAAAAGGTACAGCACGTACCCAGTTCAGTTAATGTGCTTCATCAAGATCTAAAATTAGACTAAACCTTGGAGTTTCCACAATATCCTAAGCCCTACAGTGCTGGAGCTGCAGTGACAGAACCGCAGGACAGTTCCAATATTCCATTTGTTACACGTTTTGAAACACGTACCCAGAAAAGCTCTTGGAATTTATTCTCAACAGGACTCCAGATTCTGAAAACCCATCACATTGAACTGCAGCAGAAGGGAAAGAGTGTTCCCTTCATATTAACAGCAAGCAGAATTAGGGATCAGCAGCATTTGTCTCCCCACCTGCTTTCCCTTCAAGTGTAAGCATTTAAGCCCAGCGACATCTATTAACAAACAGACTCTGAGAGCTCTGAGGCTCACCCTTAAAGAAGACAGACACCAAAGAGGATAATACTTACTGCACTATCACAATGATAAGTACAGTAATGAAGCTGACGCTCGAGAGCAGGACAGCTACCACTACCAACACAGTCTTTGAGTAGTCTGCCACATCATTCTTCCTTTGAGTCTTCATGAACTGTTCACCACAGCGCTCACCAAAAAAATCCTGATGACACCTGCAAGTAAATATTAACACAAGCTCTTATCAGCTCTTGTGCTGTCTGGAGCCAAGGACACCCACACATACTCAGACCTGACTTTGACATCTTCCGAGTTTCCCATGAATCTCAAGAAGCTCACTTCAGAGCATGTTCATGAAATGCAGTCACTGCTCTAGCACAAGGTTTGTCAGCATTTCAACAAGTCGAGATTAGTTTGGGTGTGATGTTCCAGAAAGACACGCCTTTTCATTCTTTTGGTTTGAGTTTATGACCAACTGATGAGTTCAGTGGCTTGTTATGCATCTCAGATTCCATCATCACTTAAGTTACACGGCAGAGAGATTCTCAGTCAAAAAATGGCAGGAGATGGATCTATACCAAGTTGACACTGATTTTTCCTCTGAGCCCTCACATGCCACTGGCTCACAGCAATGACACCTAACTCACAAGGTACAAGTAACTTACTTGCAGGTCACCATCTGGAGATGTTCTAGGTATATGCATTCTCCATGGATGCAAAAGTTTTTGTATTCCATTTCACAGGGAGTCCCTTTCTTCTTGTTTTTCCCTTTGTTTTTCTTCCTTCTTGATTTGCCAGCATTCTTCTCTCCCCCCCTCTTCGCTGGCTTGGGTTTAACCACAGGTTCAACTGAAAAAAGGACATGATGACTTTGATACCAAGTACTAGAAAGCACGATTCTGAGAAAATGGAATCAAAGAATTTGGTGAGAGCAAGGATGACCATCACCGCAGGAGAACCTGAAACCAGGAAGCACAGGATGCAAGTGAGAATGCTGCTGGGCACCTCACACCCAGCACAAAGGCACCAAGCTCAGCAGCTCATTAAGGCACAACTCTGCTACCCTTCACTCCTGTGCTGTGCAGACCAGAAGCAGCAGGAGCAGATGAGCCAAGAGCCACCAAAGATGAAGAGCAGCAGAGACGCAGGACTGCAGCATTTCACAGCATAAGATACTGGAGTGCAGCAGAACAGCTTCAAGCAAAGGCCTGTAAAGAACAGGGAGCTCATGCTGACAAGCCATCCCGAAGTTTTATGTGGACTCAGATACAAAGGTAACAGCACCGTGTCTCTAAACTCCCCATTTGCATCAGTGATGAAAGGCACTGTAAGTCGCTAGATAGTCCTGGGCACTTGCCGAGGCAAAGCAGCTTGCTATCCCGGTTGGCATACTTGTTTCTCCTAGACAACCTGCAGAGCTGTCTTCAGAAGCAGAGAGCTCCTTTCCAGTTCTCCAACTTTGTGAAAGATGCTGTGTGCAGTGAAGGCGTGAAGGCAGGAGTCTGTGACAGCCAGACCATTTATTCTGCCGCTTACTGCTGCCCCTCATTATCCCAATTAAAACAAACCTCTAGAAGAGTGTGGTTTAAAATCCTGGTGACTTAGCAGCCCTTGGATTTAAGCAAGGGCAATCACGTTGCTTTCGCTGAGGAGAACAAACCAGCCACTGACTAAGGGTCAGAAGCTCCAGAGCTGCCCCATGCAGCAATCAAAGTTCAATAACGCTACTTTGGGCTAATGTGACACACAAAGCCTTCGCCAGAACCTGCTCCCTGCACCGCTAGCCCTAACACCGGCCCTGGCAGTGCAACACTGCTGCTCGGGAGTAACAGTTACCCCAGGGATTTAAATATGCCCTAACAAACACCAGAGCTACTCACAACAGGCTTCAATTTTGCTCTTGTGCTCTGAAGACCTAATGAAAATCATTTCTGGATGATTAATATTTTACCCACAGCTCTATGCATAGAGAAAATCGCCGCAATAGGGCACAACTGGATCTAACTACTTCCTAACCCTGTATTTCTGGTGCCGAGAGCTCGTACAAAGAAACAAGGTGTAGTTCACTGTTGTCTAGACAGCTGATCATTTTCACTTCCAGAGCAACAAGCCTGGCTTGAAGTTACTTAAAAGCAAAATGCCTTCAGCAACCAGAAGTCTGATTAAAATGGTATGAGCTATATTAATATGTAAACGAGGTTCACAGTTCCTGCAGCAAGGTTTCCTGTGCCTGGAAGTGTGAGCTCACTCCTGACAGTCAAAGGTCCCTGTTCCGTCCCGTCTGACTCGATCTTTGGGTTCGCGCTTTCATAATTGAGGCCGCTTCCCTTCCTCCCTCTCCCAGGCTCGGCTTGTCAGCTTGATCTCTGTGTCCCTGTCTGCAGGCTGCACGGCCAGGAAAGCCATCCACAGCTGAATCATAACAGCTTCAAGGTTTATCCACAGATAAACCTCATGCCAAGCAGAAGAGCTGGTCTACAAACCAACCACCTTAGGTAACAAGTCTGGTTTCTGTGCAGCCACCTAGCCAGTAGTTTTACAGGCTAAACTGCTCGATAACACCGACAGGCGCGTTTCCCCCACACATCTTCACGGAGAACTTAAGCACAGGTCCACGAATTCCCTCAAGTGACCACACTTGAGCGTGGTCCCACTTCGTTTGAGAGGTCCTTCAGTCACATTCAAGTCTCAGGGTGCCTCTGCAGGAAAATCTGTAGTCAGATCCACCCGTGAGGCAACAGGTCCAGCCTACTCACACCTACTGAGGCTGAAATCACTTGTAGATACCTGGCTTGCACTGCAAACTACACTTAGCCCAGAACCAACAAAATACTCCCATTCCCACAGTAAGGCGGACTGCTCAGATCTCCTCACAGCTCAGCAAGTGGGCAAATTACAATAAATACACACAACAGCTATTGACAGCGAACCATTGCCCTAAAGATGCTTAACAAACTTTCCTGTGGCCACTTTAAGTCTGCTTTCCCAAGAAAATTTCAGTTGATTCCAATCCAAATAAACCACCATCAGAAACTACTCAGAAAATTCTTGGAGCAAGACAGACAACTTGATGTAACACAAACCTCTAGGGCCAAACAGCACCTATAAACTCCACGGATGCTTCTACACTAAGCAGGTGGTCGCTACCTGACCACAGCCCTCCCGTGAGGTTTATCAGCTGATAAAGCTACACATAGCAAGCTACCAGCTAGCTTGTAGCTTCCACGAACCCTGGGTACAATCACGCCCGGTTTCCACCCCTGACAGCTATTTCCAAAGCAGCAGCTTCAAGCACAAGCACGTTTTTGCTCCGTACTCCACGAGCTAAGCATAGCAGCGTTTACAAGAAAGAAAAGGCGTAAGTCGGGACTAGCAAGTTGCGATATGCCAGCCCCAGCGCCGCCGACTCACCTCGGATCAAGTCGTCCACGATGTACTGGTGGACGGGCGGCGCTTCCTCGTACTCCTCCTCATCCTCCTCGTAGTCAGGGCCCGGCACGGGCTCGCCCTCACGGCTCCCGGGCTCCCGCTCCTCGTGCCGCTGCGGCTCCGTGGCGTTGGGCGAGGACCCGGCGGCCGCACAGTTCGCTTTGAGGGAGGTGAAACGGCGCCGTGAGCCGGGCACAGAAGGAAGGGGTCGCCGCTGGCCGCCTCACTCGCCGCGGGCTCCCTCCCTCACACCCCTCAGCGCTTTCCCGCCGCCGGCCGCCGCGCGAGAGCCCTCCTCAGGCGCGAGCCTCCCCTCAGGCGCGAGCCTCCCCTCAGGCGCGAGCCTCCCCTCAGGCCCGAGGCCCCCCCCCCCTCAGGCACGAGCCTCCCCTCAGGCGCGAGGCTCCCCTCAGGCGCGAGCCTCCCCTCAGGCGCGAGCCTCCCCTCAGGCACGAGCCCCCCCTCAGGCGCGAGCGCGGGCTCCCCCGAGCCCCGACGTCCCCCGTCCCGTCCCGTCCCGTCCCGTCCCGTCCCATGCCGTCGCGTCCCGCACGCACCTGCCAGCACGGCCAGCGCGGCCATCAGCATCACGGCCCGCATTGTCCGTCCTGGGGCGGGCGGCGACAAGAGACACTGAAAGAACGAACGGGGGAAGGAGTCGCCGCAACAGGTGCCGGCGGCGCGCAGCGCTCCATGAGGAGCCGCCCGCCGCCACCGCCCACTTTATGGGCGGCTGGAGCTGGGGGCGCGGACGTGGAACAGCGTCAGAGGGGCGGAGCTCAGCGGGGCGGGATCGTGGGATCCCAGAATCGCTGCATGACGGAGTCCCGAAATGACAGAAACACAGAACCTCACAATGGCTTTTTTGTTGCAAGGGACATTGAATACCACCCTGCCATGGGCAGGGACACCTTCTGCTATCCCAGTTTGCTCCAAGCCCCGTCCAACCTGGCCTTGAATACTGCCAGGGATCGGGCACCCACAGCTTCCCTGGGCAGCCTGGATCCCGCGAGGGGCACAGCGCCGGGGGCGCGGCGGGTTATTGTGGGCACACCTGTCTGTCGGCTGTCTCCGTGCTCCTTTGCATCCCCCGATGCTCCCCGCAGCTCCCGGAGGAGCGTTTTCCAGCGACAAAACCCGGCGATCGGCCCCCCCTCGCCTCGGTGGTTGCGTGCTCTCCTGAGCCGCTCATGAGTAACGGCTGAGTAAGCGGTGGCACCACTGGGCAGGGACGAATGCGCTCCTCGGGGCACTGCGGCTCAGCTGCCCCGGCAGAACTCCCCGCAGGGCACTTGCCCACGGCCACCGCTCCGGACTGCTGAGTGAAGAAGCGGGAAGCAGGCCTGCTGAAGAATCCCTGAATCACTAAGGTTGGAAGAGACCTGTAAGATCACCAAGTCCAAGCATCAAACCAGCGCTGCCACTGTAACCCCTAAACCACTAAACCACATGGCCCAGCACCAGATCCAGATACTTCTTGAACACCTCCAAGAATGATGAGCCCACCACCTCCTTGGGCAACAGTGAAAACAGTTTTCTAGTATCTAATCTGAGTCTCTCTTGTCTCCTTTTAAGGCCAGTACTCTGTGTTCCTCCAGTACTCTCACCGCAGGCACAGCAGAAGCAACCAGGTGCTGCACATGACTACAACCTCCTTTCAGGTACTTGTAGAGGGAACTGCTGCTTTGAAGGGAGAAAAAGTGGGACAGCAGGTTGTAACATGCTGGTCTTGCATGAGAATCCAGAGATGCCCAGGAGGTCGAGGATGAAGGGACTGGTACCACAGCACAGTGGGGTGGGAGGGCAGCAGGTGACAATGCTGAACTGGGAAAGGAGGATCTGGACCTTTTAACTGAGACAGGACAGAATGTTACTCACAGCTCAGGAAGCTGATCGAGCCTTTGCTCAAGGTGGCAGGGATCCAGATCACTGAACCAAGGGCTCAGCTGTTGAACCTTCTCCCTTATTCCACAGGCATACACGATATGTGGCTCCCGGTGCCTTTGCCCGATCATGCCAATCCTAAGAGGCCATGCCCAAGAGGTCTGGAAACGAAGATGCTGAATCAGTCACTCAGATGTTAAGCTGACACAGACAGCTCCAGCAAACCTTTGACAGCCTTTTTGTACATGGTGCAATTGAAACTGTCTGAAACAGCTGGCGTGAGCTGATAGCTTTACGTCTGGGGGTTTTGTTGTCTGTCCTCAGAGGTGCAGCAGAGAAAAGGCAAATCCTGCTCATCACTGTAACCCCACACCAGCGAGCTCTGCAGGCAGTCAACAAGCATCTTCCGGGCTATTTGGGGGACAGTCAGGCGTTTCACAGGGCTCCTCCTTTCCCCCTCGGACCGGAGTTCCCTTCCCACAAGACCTCTGTAAGTCTCAGTGCCTGGAGTTCACAGAGATCATTTGCATGTGAGGAGAGTTTCTCCAAAGGCAGAGACTTCGGGGTTTGGGATCTCTTCTGCTGGAACATGGGGTTGGTGATTTGAGAATGGCCAAAGCAAAGTTTATCAGCCAGGAATCCTCCCTCTCATCCTCCCTCCTGCTGTGCTCAAGGCTGGCTTCTTCAGCCAGGCACCACAGCTCCCCCCACAAGTTTTGTTTTCTTCAACTGTTAATACATTTAAATTTCTCCCATTTTTTTAAATCAGATTCACTGGAAACACTTCAATTTTTTTAAGTCCGGTCCGAGAAATATACTGAGCACCGAACATTCCAGTCCCGTTTGCTGCACTTGGCCAACTGCTGAGCAATCGGAAGAGGCTTAGCAGGGGAAAGGTTGGATGTCCCAAGTGTAATTGCCCGTGTTACCTGCACTATTTAGAGACCAAACACGATATATCCAGGGGCTGACTCACTCTGCTCCCTCTCTTCTCCACTCTCCAGCTGATAGCTCCATCTCACTGACTGCCAGGAGCGAGGAATTTGGCTTGCCATTTGTCATGAATCAACTGAAATTTGTCATTTCATCAACTTCCTCCTGCTGCTCCTGTGATCTTGAAGAAGGCGCAGGTTGGCATCAAGCAGCACAACTCCTCAGATTCCAGAAAGTGCAGCAAGATGGTGATGGGTACCCAGTTATGTCCGGAGAGGTTCTGGTGGGACATCAGGGGAGCTCTTCCCAAGCAGCAGCCTCCTGGTCAAGCCCTGCTTGGCTGTTTCTACGAGAGAACGCATAGATCACATGTTTCAGGACATACTGGGTGGGTTCTGCCACAAGCCCCAGCTCTTCTGTGTGCTGTGAGGGAAAAGGCACCAAACTTGGCCACTGCCCTCTTCCAGGGCTAGGACACTTGGATTCTGTCCCCAGGGTGAGCTTCCAGAGGATATCCCCAGGCATGGTGCAAGGAGGAGAAGCCTTGAGGAGGGCTGCAAGGCTCACCCCCCTGGGCTACCCCACTGCAGCAGGGCCTGCAGGTGAGTTGCTGGGGCTGCAAGGGCAGGGTTCACCTTTGGGAAGGTGCTGGTTGCCTGTGGATGCAGAGTGCCACCTACTGAGCCACCGCTCGCTCCCGGCAGCACCCGGGGTTTTCTGGCAGGACACCCAGGCTGGAGCTGCTGCTCAGAGTCCTTGCTCTGGCTATTCCATGAGCTTGGTTCCAGGGAACAGGGAGCTGCCCCAAAGGCTGGCAAGCCCAAATGGCTGCAGCTTACAGATGAGCAGGGATCCTGTGCAGGGGGCTGCATGCTTGGGCACAGCTCTTGGCACGTGCCCTGGGCCAGACCTGGTTTTCCATAGGCTGGCAGTGAAGCGAGATGAGATGGGCTCAGGAGTCTGGCTAGTCCTCCCTGAGCCTGGACCAACATTTTGAAAACCTTCAGCACAGACTGGGCTCAAACAGCACCTGGCAGCACCCAGTGCAGGTGATATTGGTGATATCTCTTTGTCCCTCTGATCGCTGTCCTTGTTTGTGGAGGAGGGGGTGGCCAGCACACAGCCAGCTGTGCCATTATGATCTGGGCATAGACACGGACCCGTGTAGGAGCAGTGCCACCCATGCTGACAGCTGCCAGGCCTTGGAGGAACACACTTGGACATCATTTCTTCCAGGAGAGTCTGAGTGCCTACTGGGATCTTATTCACTCTCTTTACTTTTGATAAAACCCCTGAGAACTACGTGAAGGGAAAGGAAGTATTTGAAATACCATCCCATTAATTTTCTTCACTGACATCAAATGTTTATTTTGCAAGGGCGGGCACAGCTGATCTGATGTTTGAACATGAGTTATCCTTTCTCATCCATCCAGCTGAGAACAGGTGGAAAAGGGTAATGCCTCAAACCAGAGTGCTGTCTGTCTAGGCAGCTCACCACACTTTCACTTCACTTGTGAGCTGCAGACACCACTATCTGCAGCTATCAGCAGCTCCCTCACAGGCAGGGAGGGAGCTTTGAAGTGAGGCATGTGTGACTCTGGTTCCTGCTGATGTAAATCAAGATTGCTGTAATAAAGAGAATGCAAGTGCATAGACAGGGTGTTGGGGAGGAAGGAAGGAAAAGGCCTGGATATTGCCTTTGTGGATACTGGTAGAGTCTGCTGACCTTGGAGACATGCATGCATGAGACATGCAGGTGGCTGTGCCTCCCTCCTGAGAAAGCGCTCAGCAAAGAATCATTTTGCTAAGACGGTGACATTCTCCCTGTGCTCCACTCCTTTCCTGGAGACCTAACTGAAGCAGGGATTGCATGAGCAAAACTTGTCCAGAAAGGGAATAATTTATGCACTGTTCCCTCAAGAAATTCTGCCCAGTGCTCTGTGTTTTCCCTCACTCCGCATCTGAGCATGTCTTTTAGGGTATGTCTAAGGAGAAAAAACAAAAAGAACGGAATCTGCTGGCTCTGTAATAACAAGATTTTGTGGAATTTTCTGTCACTTACATCAATACAAATGAAAAAATAGTCCCTCCTGAAAATCTAATGGACACCTTCTCAGACAACATCAACTCCAGGGACCCAGAGCACCCCTGCTTAATCTGATGAAACACGCAGCAGTGCTAAGGAGTGTGATGCTACCAAATCACAGCAGCGGGGTTTTACACTTGCTTCCCACAGGCTTTCCTGAATGGCAGGCAGTGGGGAATGCAGCCTGATCATTTGCAAAGTGCCCTGTGCCATGTTGTGGCTCCAGTCGCTGCTTCTCACTAGACAGAGTTCAACGGGACATGCCCGGCTTGGTTTTGCTTCAGGCATGGGATAAGGTGCTGCAAGCCTGCCCAGGACAACCATCCCTGCTGCCTGCTAGGAAGATTTTTGGGAAGTTGCCTGCCGTTAGCATACTGTCCTGTGCTTCAGTTGCTCTGTTTTTCACACAGCATGCACTGAACAGCTCTCCTTTGACCAAACACATCCTCCAGCACTCACCCACTCGTTTTTGTGCAATCGCTCAACCTGCAAATGCTTGGGGGCACATCCTGACCCCAGCAGTAATTTGAAGGGCCTGCAGCCAGCACAGGTAGGTGAAGCAATACTGGATTTACACTAGAATGGGGAGCTGTCCTTCAGCTAACAATTTTCTCTAAAATATCACGTCCTGCTATTGCTGCCCTTTCTTCTATTTCCCGGAGGCAATTCACGGGAACTTGTCCCAAGACTCTCTGAAGAGGGCAGGGTCATGGCTATCCCCACGTGCACCCCAAGCCAGGCTCCCCAATGGTACCTCAGTGCAAACCCACCCTGCTGAGGCCACTGGACAGAAGGGGGACGATGCCTTAGATAGAAACCTCTAAGGACACAAAGGCTCAGCTGTTGTAGCCAGTGCCTGTAACTACCTGGCAACGTTACAGTAGCCCTGTACCTTCAGAATCATGGTGTTTCACCTGCAGTGCACATTATTTTACACATTAATCTACCATTGTTAGATGAGCAAAATCCGCCGATCATCTCTCTAACACCTCCGGTATTGCAGCCCAGAACAGTGCCTGGCAGAGGAGAGCACCCAGCTCATCACCTCCCAAAGGTGTATTGGAGCCACTGGATCATTGTGCAAGGGCTCAAGAAGTATTCATTCTAAAGAGAAAAAAAAATGCTAGAATGTGAAACGTGCCCAAGGTAGCAGAAGCTGTGTGACTACTGTTCATTGAGTTTGGAAATGTCCCAGCTCAATCCCAGGATGCACTGACCTAGAAACCTGGTGTAGTTATGTGGGCAGGGTGGCTGCTGGAAAAATGATGCATATACTTGGGAAAATAGAGGTGTTTTTGCCCTGGTGCCTCAGAGATTGAGCTGAACAAGAGCCAGAGCAGAAATCTTCAAATTAAGAGAAGCCTCCCCAGAACAAAATGCCACTGGTAGTGCTGGTAGAGATGGAGTGGCAACAGTCTGGGCTTACCTTTAAGGGTCGTGGCCATGGAAGTGTGGCTGACCTAAAGCGTGTGGGTGCTGATGGAAGCTGCAGCAGGGATTCTGACTGAGGTTGTTATATCCCTTTCCTCACCTTGGGGGCTCGGGTATGAAGTCACCTGGGAGATGTCTATCACAGCTCATTTGACAGCACAGACCTTATGAGCAAATTATACAGTACTGCTTGTTTTGGGGGAATGCAGCCTCACATAAGGACTGGGAGCATCTTGCACATTATTTCCAATTGTGCCCAGAGCAGCAGAAAAATAAAGGACGTGTGATGATTGTTTGGGAATTTTCTCCTGGAAGTGCAGTTAAGTCTCAGCTTTTTTGCTTTGAGATCTTCCTAGTGCCTTCCCATCGGTGCATCAGGTGATGAATTTTCTTTACCTATTTGAAGTCATTTGGTATGTGGAGAAAGAATGAATCACAGGAGAAGCCTACAGCAATTAGCAACTCCTTTCCTCTCACCTTTGCCATAGCTAAGTTTTTTCCCCAGCACAAAGCCCAGGCAAGGCTTCCTACGCACACACAACAATGATTACATAGATCACTCTGGATTGTGATTTTTTTCACAGGCCATGAGCAAGCAGAGAAGCTCAGGACAACACTCCATTTCACAGGCATGTTAGTTATGCTCCCTTGGAAATCCCATTGTTGCTGTGTCCTCGTGACTCTGGCTGCCCTGAACTGCGCCAGAGCGCCAGCAAAGGGGCATGAAATTTGGCAGACTAGAAAGGTGCTGCTGGAATCAGTCAATCCTGGCAGCTGGAGCACTCGTGTCAGCGTGCTCTCTCAGTGAGAACTCTGTAAGCTGCTTCCATCCATCAGCGGGACCTGCGCAGGTAGAGCTCCCGGTGTCCCCTTTCCCCGTGTGTCACCTGGTGCCCCCTTGCCTGTGTGTCACGTGTGTCCCGGCAGCGTGGGGCCAGCGTGTTCCCAGGACA